GCCTACATTGATGATGTCGTCATATACAGCAACACATGGGACGAACATCTCCGAATCATGCGTGCTTTATTTGACATTTTAGCTAAAGCAAACTTAACTGTGAATCTTGAGAAGAGCGAATTTTGTCATGCTTATGTAGAGTATTTAGGTCATAAAGTAGGTCAAGGTTATGTTACACCAATAATGGCTAAAGTGGAAGCTATTGCAAAGTTCCCGATTCCTACAAACAAGAAAGAATTAATGAGGTTTTTGGGCATGGCTGGGTTTTACAGAAAATTTTGTCCAAATTTTTCCTCAGTAGTTAGTCCACTTACAAATCTTTTACAAAAGAGGGTTAACTTTGAATGGACAAAGGACTGTGAAAAATCCTTTCATAAAATCAAATCTATCCTGATGAGCAACCCAGTTCTGTCAACTCCAGATTTTTCTAAGCAATTTAAGCTTACTGTTGACGCTAGTGATGTTGGAATCGGGGCAGCTTTGTTTCAAGAACATAGTGATAATGTAGATAGAGTTGTTTCTTATTTTTCAAAGAAACTTACAAAATGTCAACGAAATTATTCTACTATTGAAAAAGAATGCCTTGCTTTGTTGTTAGCTTTACAGCATTTTGATGTTTATTTGAATGTTACTTTGCATCCAATTCTTGTGTATACTGATCACAACCCCCTGACATTTTTGCATAAATTGTCAAACAAGAATCAAAGACTGACTAGATGGAGTTTGTTGTTACAAGAATACAACATAACAATTAAACATATCAAAGGCAAAGACAATGTTATTGCAGACGCCTTGTCAAGAGTATCGTAAACATACTAGATTTTGTATTAATGTACATGTTTTACAATTTAAGTTTTTCATTGACATTCAAACTTTTTAAGGGGGGAGGTGTTGTGAGATGTGTATTGTTTCATTATGTATATAATTAGTAACATTAAGTTTCTTGAACATTCCAGAGTGGTCAACATGTTTGGTCATTTTATCTAGAACATTCTTAAATTTTGTGTATGTCCAGATTGTTCCAGTAATATCATGTTTTAACAATTTCTAGAATATTCTAGATTTATATTACTGTATAAATACCCTGTCAATTCGATGCATAAGATACTTTTGTCGTATAAGCATCATTGAGGTATTACTGGGATATAATTTCACTGGGACATTGTGTGCAGCAACGGACACTCTGATGTATGTATTTTTAGATTTTTGCTAAGTTTGTACTTAATGATTTGTATATTACTGTAAATAAATTATTGTTAAGTTTAAATTGTGTTATTGATCTTTGCTGGCATTTAGGGTTATTCTGACCCATAACACAATGTATACCCTTGCACTGGTGTGAGTTTAAATAATTTCAAAGAGGGGCCTTTTAAGGCCCTAGTCATATCTTGTATTTTAATGTTTCAATAACTTTTAGATAGAAATAAGATTTTTAATATATTTTCGTTTTAAATGCTGTTACAATATAGACGTCTTGATATTATACTGGAAAAATTTATTTCAAATTTAATCTGTGTTAATGCACCTTTAAGAAGGAGGGGAAATGTAAAAAGTGTACAAACGGACGGACGCACAACAGACAAATTGTAATCAGAAAAGCTTACTTGAGAGGAAAAACATATTGTGTTTATTTATAGACTTAAAATTTTGGACTTGCAAAAAGCCAGCTTACATTTTCGAGGGACAGAGATGGAGGACGCACGAAAGGTGAGAAAAAGGAGAAAAAAAACGTGACTGACGTGACAGATGTTTTTTGGGGGGAGGGGGGGATTAAGCATGGCAATGCTGTTCCTTGAATTAAACAGAAATAAACGTCCTCAATTAATTTCCACACAAAAAATATTCATAAGTATATATTTTATTTAAAGATAAAACACATTCATAATAACTTGCGTAGCAAAATCACTGAAAAGGCGTCAGAAACATTTAACTTAATACATTAGTGTAAAACGTTTCTGCTGAGTCATGATGATATATATTGCTTAAAACAAATATAACAATTCAGACATTCACCAAATTATCTAAACATTAAATCTGTCATCAAAATAAAATGCTATATTTAAAAACATTTCGATATAGAATTGTATCAGAGAGATTCAGATTAATTTAGAAATTCCAGAATTAATATAAAACAGTTTATTTGTACGAGAGGCTGCAGTAAATATACCTGCTTTCTCTATATCATATAAAAAATCTCTTAAATTGCAAAAAATAAATAAGTAAATAAATAAAAATAATAAATAAAACAACAAAAAGGTGAATATGTAAAAAATAATTGTTACAAATATAACAATACGAAATAAAATATTCGCATCATAACACTAGTATCTAAAAACAAACAAGTAGTACTACTTAACTTCTACCTTAAGAAATGAATGACTTTAATTTCCGCATTTCCACATAGAAAAGTTACTTTTCACAACATGAGCGAGAGCAGCACTGTTCAGTAAAGTCCTGATCGTAACCCATCGGGACCTCTGTAGATTTCCCCGTGTCGTCATCATATTTTTTACACGAGGAAAAGGGCGGGGAATAAAGGTGTAGAGTGACAGCGCCCTCCACGTGACTTTTGTTTCCCACTCGATGAAGTCCGTCTGCGTCTGTATAAAAAATATATATTGAATTTATTATATCTATGTTATTTCATAACAGAAATCCTACAGTAGTCTTTAAAAAAAGGGGGGGGTAAAGATTGGTTTGACACTAGTCTAGTACTAAGAACTCTCAAGAAAGTGCTTTAAGTGCCGTACATGTATGCAGATAGTGATCAAAAGAAAGGCTTTACCACAGACGATAATTACATGCAAGACGACTTAGAAAAATACCTGTAAATCTTAATTTTTGGTATAATGTCAAGCTATATAAACGTTGCAAAGTACTTGACAAAATACCAGTTTACACAAATTATTGTTTTAAACATACCAGTGATATGGGCCACATCGTTGAGTGTATATACCCGGTCTTGAATTTTCTTCATTTTGCCTCCACAACACGACGTCATATCCGGATTTTCATACAACTCCTCGAACACTTCTCCCTTCAGAGTCTTCATGAAGCAGTGTGATTTAGGGTGATTATGTATAGGGCTTTCCTGACCAGTGTTCCAACACAATATCATCAGATTGTAATGACCATTCCCTTTGTCCAGAAGAGTTCTTGTATATCTATACAGTAGATAATGATATCCGTGTGAAAACTAAATCATTCAAAACACTAACATCATGAAACTGTATGAATTTTTGCTTTCTTATTCAATTGAATCCAGAGTATCTGTATTTTTTCACTTCTTAATTTTCAGTATTCATTTTCATTACATAATATTTCCAATTAATTAGTAAATCATGTCAAAAACTGAAAAAAAGAAATATACTACTTGCTTTTTATCGCTCCACTTTTCCTTGCTTTCCCAGTCCTTTGGATGACTTTCGTAATTCGACATAATCATTTTAATGGTATTTACCATCTCCTCCGACTCCTCCAGAAAACCGTTCTCCAACTCCCTTCTGAGGTCTAATTGCATAGCATTCAAGTCATATCGTGCCATTATTGTTTGTATATCTGCTCTAACTTAAGATAACCGACTTCGAAATCTACATACAGGTTTGCATAAAACATTGTGAAAATTTAAACAAGGCATGTGTTTTGTGTTCATTTATATACAATCACTTCAACCAGGATATTTTTTTGCATGTCCTTAAAAATAGTCTCGAAATCAATTACCCTTCTTGGAAATATTTAAACGACGCCCAGTCATAATCTTAACTTTCGGTTTCTCATCAGTTTCAGATATGCTGGTGTTTTTTTTTTAAATACACCATATGAAACGTTTTAATTTTACATGAAACAGAAAGTACGATCATATATGTTATAATACGCTTTTGTGAAATATTTTTCTCAACGATTAGCAGATGGTAGAAAAATGAAATGAGCATTTAAAATATTTACCTTCTTATATCACAAATAAATAATTTAAATTTATATCCTCAACAAATGTATAAAGACTTAATTTTTGAACTCAAATATATTAAATCGGATGAATACTAATTTGAATAAACATTAATTAAACGAGGACAATGAAAAAAAAATATCGAATCATACTTCTGTTATGCATGTACATGTAGTATATTGTATGTACAAGTACATTTATAATTTTTGGTTATAAATGTAATTCATGCATGATTAATTATTGAATTAGAACAAATTTTTACCCGCGGTTTGTTTGCAATCAGTTTTCTTATATTAAAAAAAAAAACAGTTAGAATTGACCTACTAAAAATCAAAATCTTCACTGTATTCAATAGTGGAGGTCACTAGCACGTTAACCTAGTTAAAGTTCATTTAATTAAACGACTTTTTTACACACCCATACACATACTACACACACACGAATGACTTTAACCTCTATTGTAGGCCTTTCAACTAATTTTTCAAGTTACACATATAGTAAAATACATTTCATTGATAGATTTATAGATACATGGAATTATCATAAAATATAACTTAATATGCATACATTTGATTAAATCATTAAAAAGTTTAATTATTTATAATTGAATTGGACGATGTAGTGTTTTAAGGACAGGTAACTTAGATGTGAAAAATGACCAACTAAGTGCCGATTTATGAGTTATCGGTTATAGGAATGACATATAGGCTACTTCAGTATTGGTATTGTTATTTACACAAAAGGGTTTCTTACATTGTTTTGTACACAAAAGCTTTGACCAAAAAAGGAGAATGTCTTCACTCTACCTGAAATAACAGGGTCAAATGAATGGGGAACAGTCTATATTTAATATTTTAACTCATTTTATTCATTGACGATTGTTATGAGGAAGAAAATATAATGACATGTTTTATTTGTGCGCACTTTTTCACTTCCTATATAAATATATATATATATATTTACAAGTAAATGCAACAATTAATTATCTTATTTGTATTACCTAGCACGAAGAAGAACGCCCGTATAAACATTTAATCAGGTTAGAACTAAGAAGGAGGGTCGATTTCACTTTTTATTTAAATTAAAAACTTTACTTATATCTAATTAAACGGCGTCCACAACTATATGGTAAATAAGTTTATTATTAGTGCTAAATTTTAAAACCACTGGATTCTATTGACAGCAAAGAAATACTTGGGAAATGCTAAAAACTGACTTGTGTATAAACAGTTAGCTACCTCGGACCTGCTCTAAACAAGTTTCAGCAACGAGTTATCGTTCATAACATCGAACCCTAGCGGCAATTGAAAGGCCTATCTATTGTTTTCTCAAGCGGTGTTTACAGCGATGAAAATTTCCGGATACTGTAAAATTGAAACAACAACGAGGGAATGCACATTCGTTAGTTTGTCATGTGTTATATACTGTCTTAATACACAAATATTATTTTGTAGTTACTCTCTTAAAGACTGTTACTTTTTTTTATTTAAACAACAGAGCGTTTATTATATTCAAAAACATATTATCAGGATAATCTGTTTTAAAAATAAATATACCGTGATCCACAAACAATGTGAATATATTTGGGGCACAGAGTCTGGTTTTAGGTGGTTTATATTCAGACATATTCCCCGTTTAGGTGTATTCATTTTCGTTAAAAAGTAAATGCTTTTTTATCTCATTATTTCCTAAGCTGATAGGCTGGCGGTAATAAGACTTTTAAGTTAACAAAAATGGCAAATGCGATACCAGGTTCAATATAAAAATGAAGTGTCATTTAACAAATATCATTTTCATGATAAAAAAAATCGATACAAACCTTGTATTTTTTTAATGAACTTGATTTGTCCGTCCAAATTGATCTAGTTTTGTATGACCAACAATAAAGAAGTAAAAAGAAAATTTATAGGGAGCATTTTTAAAATTCTTTTTAGAACGTTTCATATTTCTGATATCGAATGTCCTGTTTAGAATTTTATAGAGTGAAGTACAGTCGTAGTAGTTTTTCATTTTAAATCTGTGTTTACCAAGTACAAACCCTTCGTATTTTTTTCTATTAAATAGCAGATATGTATTACTTGCTTTTCAACCAGCAAGTATAGCAGATTATTGAGAATTTTCATGACTATCACATTCATAAAAAAATTCTATTGAATTTGTTCAAGTGTTATAAAATCGTGTTTTTAGCTTTCGTAGATACATGTAATAATCAAATAAATAATCTTCATTGCATAATACTTGCATATGGGTCAAGCAATACATCATAAAAAATCAAAACAAAAGAAATAGGATTAATTATCACTGACAATTATGCGTATCCACTGAAAATATTCAATAATCTTCAATTTTTTTAAACTACGCTTGTATGAATCGATACTTCAAGTCCGAAACAGAAACTAAGTACTGGAAAAGGTCTGCTTTGTCTTGGGTTTGTTTCGTTTTCTTAGGGGGCAATAAATCAAAGGAGCCTAGATTGTATAATTTATAGATTTTCATCAACAAAAAAAGGTTTAAATGTTTTATTGTTTGGGTACTATTAATTTGTGCAACATCTAAATGTTTTACATTCGTCACATTTTCTCACAAAGTATTTACAAATCGCCAGTTTATTAAATAAGACCTCATTAACACACACAATTCAATGCCCCCATTTGAAGAGGTTAAATGAATAAATCATGTTGGTATTCAGAACAATTCTGTTACCCCCAAGTTTTGTGTTGGTTGGTTGTACATGTATTTTCACAATGGTTTGCGTGGGTTTTTTTTTAGTTGCTCATTATTTTTATATGTAAGCTTGGTTTGCTGGTTGCTCACAGATAATAGCAACATTCGCTCTCGAACAGATTACGTTTTTTTGTACCATAGTTAGGTGATTTCTTCTGTAAAAATTGTTGGTTATTTGTACACATTACATGGGGTAATTACTACACATACAATGTTAAATGGACGGAGACATTTAAATAAGGTAGTATGCAATAGGTATAGGCCGAAATCTGTCTATTATATGTCATCTATTAGAGGGTCTAACGAGTGTCTAACATCCGACATAATGATCAGTTTGAGGCCTATAACTTAAAACATTAATTTTCAAAAATGTCAAACACTTCCATTGTAATCTTACCGTATAACCTACCTGGCACTGATCATCAAGTCAGGCAAAAAGCAACTAGTTTTTGTCTTTTCTTTTATACTTTTTAACAGTAAGAATCATCGAGCCATGTAATCAATTTACATGAATTTTGCATATTATTTTTAGCTTATATGGGGAGTCTGGGTCCTTAAAGAGATTTTGTTATCTCCAAAATGGATGCTGACTGGAGGCAGGAGATATGAGAGCTTTTGCTAGAAAGAATTGATAGGAGGAGGGTGGATGGATTAGTGTGTAATTTTTTATAGTAATTTAGCTACACATAGAAGACAGAGGGAAAATAATACAGGGACACCATATGGGAGGGGGAAATCCCATTTCCAGACAACAAGAGAGAAGTCCTATTAGCATACGCATTCAAGGACATGCTTCATACAAACACATTACATATGCGTCATGACGAGCAAATTTCACACATATGTCACAATAGTCTTTGCATTAATCTATTACACTGAAGTTTAGTAGAAGACGCAGCAGTTTATATTGATAGACGACTTTGTAAAAAGTTAATTCCCAAAGTCTGTTTAAGCATGCTACATATAACCATCCCGATTATCTCTTTGAGATAGTGTTCACCTTTGGTAAGGGGGATCACTAATCTGACATTTATATCAGTCCCTTTTTGTAAGTTCTTCTTGATCTTTTTCTCTATAATGTTTTTGTTTTATTACGGTGATTCACATATTTTTTTCTAAATTTGTCAGATTGATATTTTCTTTTTGGAGTTGACATGTTAGACGGGTATTTTAAGCAGAGGATCTTCAAGCGCAGTACGCTTCAAGGCAGTAGAATTTCCTGGTCCATGATTCATCCTGAGCGAATTCGGTTCATACTCAAGTACTCACTCGAGATTGCCATCACATGACCGAATGTTTACATATACACGTGGTTTGCAATCGAACTTCACCATCACATGACCAGATGTTTACATATATACGTGGTTTTCAACAGGATTGTACCATCACACGACCGGATGATTACATACATGTAGACACGCGGTTTTTAAACCGAACTGTTACAGGTGTTCCTTCATTTCTTGACGCATTTGGTAGAGTTATTTGCTCTTTTCGAGTTTTATAGACAATAGAAATGTTTTGTTGTTGTTGTTTTTTTGTTTTTTTTTTTACATTTTTGAGTCTCAGAAATTCAACAATAAGGCAATTAATTACCCTGAAGCCACTTGCTTTTATACTACCTTATTTACCCCGTATAACAGGGTTTGCAGAGGAGGTAATAATACCACAATTTGATTCAGACGATTTTAGATATCATTTTCTCTTCAGCATAGATATGTTCGAAGAAATCAGATCAGCCTTGGGTAAATATTTGCTTTTTTTTAAGTACACGTTTTTCAAGAAAATTTATCAATATGTATGCTTTACAAGGCGTTCCATATATCAAATATAGTGATTGTACTGGACCTGCTATTGACTCAGAGGTCAAAAGGTGAAGGTACTTAATTCATAAATTCTATCTGTTTTAACATTTACATTTCCCGCGCGATATCTCGAGAAATTTTAAAACGTTGGCAGTGAAATTTAATACCTAAAATTAAATCAAACAACAGATTGTCATTTTCTAAATGTTTTTGTATCA